AGTGTCAATATTTGTGAGAATATATTTTTAGTCTTGTTTCAATTAGATATCTGCACATTTTTCCAGCAAAATTATGTGATGTGGAATATACTCTGTATGAACTTTTGATTTATGAGTCCATTTTATTTTAAGGATGCTAACTGTTGCCTGGCCGACATGGCTTAGTGGTTGAGCATTGGCCCATGCAGCCGATCAAAGATTCTCTCTCATCATTGATGTTTCTATCTCTCTCTCCCTCTCCCTTCTTTTCTCTGAAATAAATAAAAACATTTTTTTTAATTGTAAAAAAAAAAAAAGGATGCTAACTGTTATATCTGTTACAAGTGTATTTGCTAGTTTGGCATTATGCTTTCAATTTTGGTTTTGGTATTTTTTGGATTTGTACAACATTTTGTGTATGTGAGGTGTAACAATTTCTATGTTTTTGACTTTTGCATTTATGCTTAGAAATATCTCTTCCACACTTTGAGTGCATTATAGAATGATATATATCATTATTTGATGGGTTGGGAAGAACTTATAACTAACAGATGCACAATAGTTTATTGGGTTCTAGTCCTGTCCAGTAATAATCAGTTTGGGGATCCTGGGCATTCCACGTGGCCCTCTGAGCTTCAGTTTGCTCATCTCTCAAGGGAGAGCGTTAGACCCCTAGACAGTCAGCACCAAAGTGCAGAGGTTCCCTGCATGGACCATGGGAACAAAGTCACCAATATATCAGCTCTTTTCTTTTGGGATGGAACAGACTGTCATTATAGTTCATGAGCAGGAGGTAAGGAAATCAAGGACTGAATTTTTACTGACTTTTGGAACTAGTTATCTCTTGGAAATAGTTATCTCTCCTCAGAAGAATGGGACATTGCTTTTAAAGAATTTTTCTGAATTTACTGTAACAAAGAACAGAAATGCATTTTTTAAGCTGGATTGTTTTTGATACATGTTAAATGATTATTCACTGTTCATTCTATTTTAGCTTCTCTTAAGTGAGGCTGAGGGCACTCTTTTGCTAAGAGAACCCACAAAGAAAGAATTTGTTTTCCATGAGTGTGGAGCTTGAAAAAGATGTCTACTCAGGATGCTATTAAAAATATGTAACAAACAGTGGGACATAGGCACTGACCTATCAGAATGGACTCTGGCTATAAACTACTATGGGTAGGAGATGAATAGCATCCCTGAATGTACACGAGAAACCAGAGAAATTGGAGCATAGAGGTTCCTCAAAAAATTAAAAATAGAACTACCAAATGATCAGCAATCCCACTTCTGGGTATATATCCCAAAGAAAGAAAATCACTATTTCTAAGCGATCTCTGCACTCCCATGTTTATATGAATGTGTAGAGGAAATGTGATATCATTCAACCATGTGAAAGAAGGAAATCCTGCCACTTGTAACCACATGGATGGACCTTAAGGGCATTTTGCTAAGTGAAATAAGCCAGACACTTAAGCCAAATTCATGGTTGCCAGCAGGAGCTGGGGAGCGGAGGACATTGGGAGATGTTGGTTAAAGGGTATGTACTTCCAGTTATAAGATGAATATATTCTGGGAATCCGATGTGCAGCATGGTGACTATAGTTAATGCTGTATTATATACGTGAAAGTTGCTGAGAGACTAGATCTTAAATGTTCTCACCACACTCACACAGACACACAATTGTAGTTATGTGAAGTGATGGATGTATTAACTTATTTTGGTAATTAATCATTTAACAATATATACATGTATCAAATTATCATAATATACACCTTAAACATATACAATGTTATATGTCAATGATTTCTAATAAAGTGGGGTGGAGGTCGTTCTGGTTGTCCTGTAGAAAGAACGTGAACTCTAGGGAAAGAGGAGAAGCATGGAGAGAGTTAACAGTAACTGGGAGAATTGCTGGTACCTTGGGCTTGGGAGGTTGTTGTGGAAGAGATGAGAAAGGATCATATTAAGGATAGATTTAGAAGGCGAAATTGCTGTGTCTCTTCCCACGACAAGATTCTCCTTCCAGGGCTAAAATTTGGAGGTTCTGTGTTTTCTTCTTAAAGGGGATATGGTCTTCTTTTATAAGTTCATTTTAAATGTCATTATAAATAATGACAAATTTTGAAATAACATAAAAAGCTTGGTTTCTTTTAAATGCCTAATATCCCTGTTGCTAAAAAATGATAAATCTACATTTTATCTGGATTTTAGTGAAAGTCTTTATCATTTGTTCCTGTTAAAATGTCTGACTGGAAACCTGTAGTTGAGACAGTGAAGGAGCTGAAAGTTCTTTGTGTAACATTTATCTGGGTGCATGTGCAGGAAAGGCCCTTTGTATGTAAAATGCTTCACAGAATATTTTTATCATGTGTCTGTGCAAGAAAATGAAGTGAGCCCCACCAGTGTGTCTCAGTGGTTGAGCACTGACCCGTGAACCGAGAGATCCCCGGTTCGATGCCAGTCAGGGCACATGCCCGGGTTGCGGGCTCGATCCCCAGTGGGGGGCATGGAGGAGGCAGCTCATTGATGATGCTTCTCTCTCATCCATGTTTCTCTCCCTCCATCTCGCTTCTTTCCTCTCTCTCTAAAAACAATAAAAACATAATTTTTAAAAAAGAAAATGCAGCAAACTGAAGTCACAGAACATAGTAAGCATACACCTAAAATCTAAATAATTAAGAATACTTTGAAGGATATCATCATAAGACCTCCCGCCAGTATTCTGCTTTATGTCTTTCCTGCTTTTCTGTTCGCTCCTCTTTTAGACACTGTTTCATCCAAGCCAGCTGTGATGATGTGAAACATGACTGCAGGGTTTTTACTCAGAAATGAGCCCTGATGGCCCTGGCTTCACCAGAGTTGGCTACATGATACAGAGCACACCATCTATCTCTCTGAGAATTGGTTTTCTAATCATTAAAATGAAGAGACTGGACTAGAGAATTCTAAAATTCCAGTTTCAAGATTTTAGGATTGGTCCTCTCTGATTTTTACATGTGGTTGCCATAATCCATTACTTGCTTTAATTGCCATTGTTGTGATGATGATTCCTAACTCTACAATCTCAGGTGCAAGTCTAACATGAGGTCCACTCTCATAGAGCAAATGGCCTCCTAAAGATTTCTACCTGGGTAGTGCAGAGGCACCTCAAACACCCTATGTCCAACATGACTCACTAACTTTCCCCAGGAACTTGCTTCATTTTCTGTTTATTTTCCTCATAATGTCCTGATATCGCTCTTTTTGACTGAATCTTGTACCCCACCTTTCTTGCAAATAACCATCTACTTACTTATCTACTTATCTGAGTCTACAAGACTCAGCTCAAGAGTCACCTTCGAATGTGAAATTTTTCCAAGCCCACTTCCTCTCCAGGTGGAATTTTCTACCACCTTCCATGGTATTCTGACTAGTCTGATATCAGCGCACCCTCATGAGTTTATTGCACTCGTTTATTTATGTGTTTACATTTTTCACTCTTTGAGGGTAGAGATAGTCTCTTATTTCCCTGCAATTCTACCCTCAGCTTAGAATGTATCCACAGTAGGTGATTGACAAATACTGAGTCAATGAGTAAAAATGAAAATTGTGTGATCTGAGGATTGCTCATGTCTGTCTTGTCCAGCATATGTCTTCCTACCAACAGGCTCCTCAAGACATGGAGTCCTCATTGGCTCTCTTACCCATCTTCACCTGCTCATCTGCTTAAAAGACTCATATAAATCCTGACCTTCATTTACTTGCACACATCCTTTTCACATGCAATCTATCTTGCAGAGTGCAGAGACCACATTTTCTTTCCCTTCCCCATCTTCTAAGAGGTTGAGATTAGAATAACGATGTCTAGACACTTTCTAGTAGATGTTCATTCCTTCAACCCCACACTGGGCTCAGTTCTCTCTTGGTAAACAACTAAAATTTTCTCCATCACAAGACGTTTACATATAAGGCAGTCTCATCATGAGCAATTAACAAATGTATTTCAGCTCCTCAAAACGTGAATAAAATTTAGTCCTGACACTTAGCTCTCACTGAGTGAGTATACTGGAGTAAATAAGTTGACATATTTGAGTGGCTGAGCTGTTCTCAGCAATACCTCCTACTCCCTGGGCAGGCTGAAGGAAATGAACCAAGGCAATTTGTATTGGCAGGATCGAGAAACCATGTGCAACATGTAAAAATGGTAGAATCAGCTTTCCTTCCCATTGTGTTTTTAAATTTACCAGTGCTGGAGTAATTACCATGAAAGTCACGTACCAAGTGAAGAGAAGTTTGCCTCTTAAGAGAAGTTTCTTTCTCTGTGGTCCACTGCTATCACATGTCCTTTATGGTTTCTCTGAGATAAATAACTTTCTCAGGTCTACCCTTTACTTTCTTTCCTCAAGTACTACCCAGTACTTTGTTGTTCCCACAGTTATTTTCTGCCCTTCCATTCTTCCCTGACATTTGATAGAGTCGGAAATAGCCCTTTGTCAGTTAATTTATCTTTGAAAAGATTACTGATATTGTAGACTAGCTCAGCAGGCTGGATTGAATCTGATCAAACCAAATAAATATTAATACTGATGATAATTAGTATATTGCTCTTTGAGTACTTTATTAAGTGCTAGTTATAATTACTTAATTAATGGAGTCAATTCTCAAAACAACCCTGTAATTTAAGCTCCCCATCCAAGCCTTTTACAGATGAGGAAGAGAAGGACTGGAGAGGTTAAGTAGATTACCTGAGGTCACACAGCCAGTAGATGGCTGAGTTAAAATCTGAACTCCTGTTCGCACATTTTGCATTTCACCAGTGCCTATAAGTAAATGTGAATGCAGTTGTCCATGTCTGGAATGAGAGGAGTTCTTGAGGAGCGGCACTTAAGACACACGGCGGCCTGTTCAGCTGGAACGTAGCCCCTGTTCCTGTTGTTATTTAGTTGGAAGAAGATTCAGATGGCTGAGATGTTGAAACTGTGCATGTAATGAATTGAACGGAGGAATGATTGACTCACATGGACGTTTCTTTGCCTTCCAGGAAGATTTCCAACCCGCAGCAGCCTCAGAGACCAACTGGGAGTCAGTCACAAGCTCTGTCTCAGTAAGTAATTTATTTTTCTGTTGCCAGTGGGGGAAAAAACTGATGGATAGCTAAGGTCAACCCAGAATGACATCAACGACATTAGGGATGTATGGCTTGACCACAGGCCAGATCTGAAGCATCACGCCTCCTCTTTCATGTAGGTTACAGTGGGCTATGTCGGATGCCCTTTTCCCCTCTTTCAGAAAGTTTACAGGAAATGCCAGTGCTCATTATGGGAACACAGAATAGACAATGGCTTAAGTATTTATCAGTTTCAAAGCAGAACATTCCAACGAAAGGACTGTGCAGACACATCAAATGTCTCAAACTGGTCCATGGCCCAAGCTCAAGTGGGGAATTTTGAAAGTGTTTTTGAATATTCCAGAGGAAGCTGTTAACCTTTGCATTTTCAAGGATCTTTCCAGACCTGAAAAATTCCAATGTTTACAGTAAGATAACTTAAGTGCAAAGCAGGCATGTGTTCTATTTGACTTGGAAATAAAACATAACTCACCCTGCAACTATAAAATGGTTCATGCCCCTATTTTTTCTCCAAATTTAGTCATTTCTTAGTATTCTGTCTACTTATCTACTTTGTACAGAAAGAACAGACCTTGTTTTCACCAATTCTATGGGTAGCACTTGTATAGCAATAAAATGCAAGACAATAAACGCAGCTGTTCATTGAAAGGTCGGGAGCATGGAGAAAGCTTGTCTGTCCATGGTTCTAAAGTGGATTGGTGTGGCTGAATCAATGGAGTTGATTTTTCCCCCCCAAAAGTGATATGCTACCTTTTGCTCTCTGGGAGATTTTTTTAAATTGCCTCAAATGGCAGGGCTTCCTCAGCTATGGATTCTGTAAGGATTTCATTCACCTGGTGTGGCTGCTGGACTAGAACAACACGATCGGAGCCAGAGATCAGCGAGGCCTCTGATAGTGACAGTGAGGACGTTTGCTTTGGTTCTGTCACTCCAGAATGCACACTCTGAATCCAGCTAAGTGTAAGCAATCCTTGGCAGGCAGGTGAAGACAAAAATCAGGCAGGCAAGACCTCGGAGCTGGGAGGCTAGGCTGGAGGCTCAGTCAGTTAGCAGCCTGAGGCTGACAGCTCAAGGTAGATGCCAGAGGCAGCCTTTGCAACTGGACCTCATGTGGCATTCTGTCAAGCGATCCTCCAGCTTCTCAGGCGTCTTAGAGGTGACAGCTGAAGTTGTCTACCCAGTCCTGCCCAAAGTACAGTAATTACAAGCTTAAAGGGCCCATAGCTAATTCAGGGTAATCCAGATCCTCTAAAAGAGAGGGATCATCTGGTCCATTTGGAATACCTGTGGAAGCTCAGCTTGAGTCCAGATCCACTGGAAAGTCTTCGGGTTGAGTTCCGAGTCCAGGCTCTGATTAGTCCTCTAGGAAGACCAGAGAGACATGGCTTCTTCCATTGGCATTCGGTTTTTCAAGAACCTTCTGGAGTAGGAGCAAGGGCCTTTGGACCTACCATTGACTTCTGTACAAACCATACTTTTTTGTTTTTTAAACCTCACCAGAGGATATTTTTTCCATTGCTTTTCCGAGAGAGTGGAAGGAAGAGGGAGAGAGAGAGCGAAAGAGAGAGAAACATCAATGTGAGAGAGACACATCAATTGATTGCCTCCTGCAGGTGCCCCAACCCAGGTCGGGGATCTAGCCTGCAACTGAGGTACGTGCCCCTGACTGGGAATTGAACCTGGGACCCTTCAGTCCATGGGCTGACTCTCTAACCACTGACCCAAACCTACTAGGGCCATACTTTGTTTTTGTTGAAAGAGGTTTACAGTCCTCAGAGCATTTATTTTATTTTATTTTGTTTACAAATTACCATTTTAAGGTAATTCAGTTAGGTTTAGAATTTGTTTTTGTAAATAGGTAACAAAACCAGAATGAGATCAAAATGTGCAGTGCAGTTGAAGGAGTCACACCCAAATAGTTCTTTCTCTCAAAAATAGATTTTAAATAATTACCTCAGAAACAAAAATGTTCTCATGGGTTTCTTAGGTCCTCTATTCACTCATAAGCATTTTCTTTACCATCATCCGAGTTTCTGTCAGTTGTCCCAAGTGAACACTTGAAAACTGCAGTAAAGCTCACACATAAGGGCTATTTTATATTTTATCTGTGGTTTGGGTTTGCTCTTCAGACTAATGTTAAAATAGATTACATTTCCCTCTCCCCCTTGGACTAAGAACCCCTCCATAGCTTTCTCTTGAGGACTTAGCAGGGCACACCTTACATTCCAGGCACAGTGGGAAGCAACCCTCGGAAACGCCTTGCCTTGAGCCTTGCAGGGAGTTCCCCAGAGCCATTGTAAAGAGCTTTTGTTTGTGTGGAAATGGCTTCATGGATGTGATTTCCCTGCTTTTATTTTAAAAACTCAGGGAAGCATTTTAATTCCAAAGCTTTTATATGTTGCCCATGCACCTAACACTGGCCAGCTTATTTTGATTTTTTGGATTTGGACCCATATCATTGTGATGCAAGGCTAATTGTAAATCATCTGGTGACTATGAACCAGATAGACAGCCAATTGCTTCTCCAGGCTTTGAATGGGAATTTGGAATTCTGGCACTGAATCTAAGAATTATCCACCTCTAGCATTTGATGCCAAGAGGAACATGAAAGATAGAAATGAGAGACTTCAGTCAGGGTTCAGCTTATACCAGAAACACACACACACACACACACACACACACACACACACCCCTAGTGTAAGCAGCTGGCCTGACACCTTCACCCATCTATCTCATGTCTCCTATCCTGCTCTCCAAGCCCCATTTTTCCCACCCCACTCACTTTCCCCTACAGGGCTTATTTGAAAACTGCACACTGATAGTAGGTAATGCTTTTACACACTTAGTTTTGCTAAAGAGGGACTATTCTATCAGAGCCAGTGATCATCGAATTGTTATGGAGCAATGCATGGATGGCCTTTCTCTGTTCCTAGTGGGAGTGGGTTTCTTGGGGTACCGCTGGAACAAGCACTTCCGAGGCCCCCACGGAAGGATGAGATGTGGCAGAACGCTTTATTTGTGTGGAATTACATCCTTGGGTTTCCAAAGTCCTATTTCCCTTAATCCAGTCCTGGAAGAGGTGCAGCTGGGGATTCAGCAGGGCTAGAAGCAAAGCCAGTGTCCAGAGTTTATGTTCCATGGTGGAGCTGGGCCTGATTTAGCATTAGGCTAGTTGCAGTCCATCAGTCCATTGTGTGGGGTCCACATGGTTGTAGGCCATGTGGGCGAATGCAGGGGAGCCAGGAGAGCACATCCCCTGCAACAAGAGTCCCAAGAGCACCAGAAAGCAAGAGAATGAACTGCTTTCGTTAGGAGATTAAATATCTTAAATCTTCCCACCCTTGCAGTGGCCACGCCTCCTCTAGCCAGTTACCTGTTCCAGGTGAGACTGACAGGCAAGTACCTTCCCTATGTCACCCAGACTTTACCGGGCACCGATCTGTTCTTCCCCCGTCCAGTACCTTCCCCCAGGGATCTGCTGGGAATAGGCCTGGGGAGTGTTAAACTGCAGCGTCCTGGCAAAACTGCACAAATAGATGTCTATAATATTTGGCCTTCCCTTTGCTCCTTTCCAGTTATTCATAACTAGGTTTAATTACAAAGCTATCAGAATTGCTTATAGACCTTTGGCCCTTGATTGGTTTAAAAGAGAAAACATTACCTGAGACTGAGAATATAAATGTGGGCTTTGCTGCCTGGGCCTCTATGACACATATTATTTCTCAATAGGAAATTGCAGTTAAGTTTCAGGAACCCAAGTTTTCATTAATTTCCATTTTCCTGTAGTAATAGGAGATATTTGCCCTTGGGGGGCTCTTATTTGTTGGCAGTCTCTTTAAAGACATTTAGGAACCATTTGAGACCGCGTGCTCTCTATTTCCCTGTTAATGGGTCATGAATTTTTACAGAGATGTTTGAATCATGGCTCATTTACCTCCAGATTGTACAAGGGTTAGTGAAGTGAGCACTTGGAAACCTACGTGGGGATATATTCCACGACAAAATACATAATCCCTTCCAGACTCTCAATGATGCTGCGTTCCCCATTTAAACAGTATTCCTGACGATGTGTTAATGGCACCTAGCATCACTAGCAAGCTACAGCACTTCAAACAAAATACATAGGTTTCCCAAGTGATCTTCCACTCTTAAGTCAAGAGAGACAGTTTCGTGGCTAATTATCCTTGTTGACAGTAAATAAGCTGGTTCAAGTGCCAAATTGTAAGAAGATGTCTCCTGAGCAGATTCAAACTCTGCTCACACAACACCTGCAATGTTAGGTGACCTGTAAAGAGGTGACATAGAGGCTAAACATGGGAGAATGGGACAAATATGCAAAACTTGCATGGAAGGAGTTCAAAAGTCATTTGCTCACCATTAGTTGTTGATATGGATATGGATGTGGGACACTGAACCAAGAAATTGGATGACTTAATTTTAACATTTCCATCTAGCCCGTGTCTTTTTTAATGATTATAATGCAGATGAAATGAAAGTTTTATAATCTGCCTGGTATGGACTTGCCAAAAAGTAAATGACTACCATTTACCCATTAATTGTGCTTGTTTAGAACTAGTACTGTAGCCTGATATTTACGCACATGATGTCTTATAATGACCATCTTGTTTATGTTCTTTCCATGTAGTTGTATGACTATTGTATTTCACAGCAATGGGCTTTTTCTGAGTACACTGAGCTGTATGTCACTCTTAGGGGGTCTCCTATCACTCTTCATCAGTAACGGACTCCACTCTCACTGCGGATGCTCTGGACAAAACAATTGCACAGTTTGATACGGTGGAAGATCTGCTCAAGCACTTCAGTCCCGAATCCTGGCAAGAAGACCTTGAGAATCTGTATCTGGACACCCCTCATCATCGAGGCCGGTCATACCATGACAGAAAGTCAAAAGGTAAGAGACAGAGCAATGGAGGTTCTTCATAAGCAGACAGGAGTATTAACTGTAATAATACTTAAAGATTAGCAATGCGACATATTTAATCACTCAAATCAGATAATTATTGTCAGCCCCTTTCACATATCTTTTTCATAGCACCTTGATATGAACTTCTCTGTTTTCCCCAAACTGTGTTGCTTGTATGGGACTAAGAAAGGTTTGATTCAGTCAAAGATCTGTCACAGTTTGGAGCTAGAGAAGACCTTATAAAATTATTCGAATGAGCTTTGTATTTCTAGGCAAATAAGGCATTATTAGCCCCACTGTAAACAGTGAAGACAACCAAAGTGAGGAGAAGTAAATAATTTGCCAAAGCCTGTGCAGTTAGTTAGCTGTGGAGAAAAAATGAGAATTATGGTTTCTTGCCGGCAGTGGCAGAGCCTGCGTAATAATCTCTCTTGCCTCTCTGATGAATATTAATTTAGCACAGGACTCAGTGTTGGCGGAGAGGCTCCTGATAAAGCAATGGTCAAAACTTTGTAGATTTCAACTTTACTCATTCAATGTCCATTCCACAAAATTTTTATGAAGACCTACCATGTGCTTGGTGTCCTAGGTGCTTCATAGGATGTGCAAGGGCGCCCATTCAGTGGGAAGATTCAAAAAAGTGTAATGAGGGGAGAAGAGAGGAGCATTCAGGCTGAGAAAACGCGAGTTAAAACAATAATACTTAAACTCATTGAAATTTTCTCCAAAGTCTTATAAGGCTGGCTTGCATCATAGATGTGAAGGCATTTAGCTAAAACATAGCTTGTTTCCTATACTTCGTAATATCAAGAGTACTTTTAAGAACTGAACCAGGGCTGCTTTAAAAGATAATGTTCCTGTTGGTAAGCACAACCTATTAGAACATTTGGACCAAAATGACTCATTAGTTGACTCCTGCCTGAGTCTGCTGCTTATGGTTTAGGTGATAATCTTACATACCTACAAAGCATACTTTTAGGAGATACAAGAGAGTCACTGGTGGCCCTAACCTTATGGAGATATTTATTCTATATGCATTTCACTGTAACTCTCAAACTGAATATCCCCAGGCCTCAGATTAGATTAAACTCAAAGGAGAAATTGCTTTTCTGTAAGGCATTGCTGTCTTTGGGTCTCTATTAGGTGAACTTAAAGGAAAGTAAAATACTCAATGTTTTGAAAACCCAAGAAACTCTATTTTAAATGGCATTGTACAAAGAAATGATAAAATGATTTAATGACTCTATTATTAAATATCTTAATCACTACAGCTATTCAAGGGGCAGCCCTTCTTGGAACCTTTTTTTTTTTTTTTGAAATATTACAATTTAAAAGTTACCTAAATTCATTCCTTTTCCCCCAGAAATTATTTCAACTTTGAGGCAGGGTGTCTGGGTTTACACCCTAACCCTGCTATTTGCAAGTCTTGTGATTTGTAGCAAGTCATTGAACACCCCTGAGCCTCAGTTTTCTCATTGGTGACACATACATGATAACACCTACTTCCAGGAATTGTCAGTAGTGCCAGTAAGAGAACCTGGCACATAGTTCCTGTTTAAGAAACATTAGCCAGCTACAGCTGCTTAGGGTCCTGAAATATGTTTGCATCGCTTCCTGGGTGAAGCCTTTCTTGTCCTCTCCTTGTGAACTCTGCCACCCCAAAACAAAGTTCAGAGTACTTGGAAAACCACAGCATGGATATGTCCTCCTACTGCACTGTTATTGTACCTTAAAGAGAATATGAGATACTACAACTTAAGGCTATCAGCTCTGGCTTTATATTAAATCACCTGGGAGCTTTAGAAAACTACAGATGCCTGGTGCCATCTCAGACACACTGCTCGGAGCCTCTGAGGGTGGCTGGTCCCATCTCAGACACACTGCTCGGAGTCTCTGAGGGTGGCTGGTCCCATCTCAGACACACTGCTCGGAGCCTCTGAGGGTGGCGCTGGAAGGAGTGTGGATGTTATTTTATGGCCCCTGCAAGACTGAGATTGATCATTAGAGGCAGCCAGGGTAGAGAGCCACTGTTTCAGAGATTGTTCATCCTGTATCTCCAGCACTTGGTACAGTGTCTGACACATTTTAGATGCTCCATTAATGTTTGTGGAATTGACAACATTAATAATCCCACATTAGTATATTTCTAAAGTTTACAGAAACCCACCCCGTAGATTGAGGAGTAGAGCTTTATTAAGAATGCCTTTGCCCGGCCTGGTGGCTCAGTTGATTGGGATGCTGGCTCATACACCAAAAAGGTTGCAGGTTCGATTTTCGGTCAGGGCACATCGAGGTTGTGGGCTTCATCCCTCCTCAAGGCACATGACGAAGGCAACCAATCAGTGTTTTTCTCTCTTTCTTCCATCCCCCTTCCTCTCTCTCTAAAATTAATAAACATATCCTTAGGTGAGGATTTAAAAAAAAGAATGCCTTTGGTTACGGAAATAACCTTGCACGAGCATTCAAGGTTAGCCTTGTAAGAGCATTCAAGGTAACATTCTACTTTTTTCTGACAGAGTAAACATTTCTCTCCCCGGTTGGCTTAGATTCCATTTATTAATCTCTTGTTTAAAATGGTCCCGAGGCAGATCTGTACGTTTCATTTAACACTGGCAAGTCACCACAGCCTCTGCACTGGTATAAATGTGCTGATTTAATTGTTTATCGTTCCGCTGATGCCGAACCACCTGCATGTATCACAGAAGCAAAGGAAGCCAGGTTTAATATCTCAGCGGCTAGTTTCGGCATTTAGAACTTAAAAATACAAATGCACGCTTTGTATCCTGATGAATAAGAAAGGGAGCAGTAAATAAAGAGTGAAAACAGAAAAATAGTTATGGAGGCCCATTATCTATTGGTGACACCATTAGGTGTCAAATAAAATGTGAACTTTACAAGGTCCATGAAAAGGTTTCCTATGATCAGAATGATAATTTTTAATGCTGTTGTACAGAAGCAAACATCATTTATGAATATCTATCGAACATCCATTCTTCTGATTTGCCCAGACTGATCAAAAGTGGCGTTTTTCTTGATGCCAAAGAGCAAGATTCTAAGATAACCCTTCACTGTTAAAGGATCAAATACAGAGTTTTATAAACTCTAAAATGAAACACCAACACTGGGTGAAGAACTTATGAATGAGGTAGAAACAGTTAATATTCAGAATTAAAAGTTATGCTGTGCTTCTGTTGTTTATTTGAAGGAAGATTAGGTGACGTGAATTTTGGGGTCTCTTTAAGAAGAAAGTTGAAAATGGGAAGAAAGAGAACAGTAAAAGTTTGGGGAGGAAAAGGAGAGAAAAGAGACAGATAACATTGTCAAGTATTGAAGCCAGAAACTCAGCACATAAGATCTACTTTTTAAAAATTCACAGGTAATAGATAAGCTCCAACTTGTCTGTAAGAACTTCTGGACTGAAGACAATATTACAAGTTAATATGTTTAACTTTCTGTTTTCTAGGGGGTAATGGAGAAAAGGGTAGTCTGGATCATTGAAATCTGTAGATAACTGTAGTTCCAAAACCCAATCTTTGCCAATAATTTCAACCACATGTTTTCTTCCTTTTTTAATGTTTTTATTGATTTCAGAGAGAGGACGGGAGAGGGAGAGAGAGAGAGAAACATCAATGATGAGGGAGAGTCATTGATCGGCTGCCTCCTGCATACCCCCTACCTGGGATCGAGCCCAAAGCCCAGGCCTGTGTCACAGGAATTGAACTGTGACCTCCCTCTTGATTCTTGTGTTGATGCTCAACCACTGAGCCATGCTGGCCAGGCTCAACCACATGCTTTCAACCTCAAAGCTGCTCAGAACTTTTTATATATTTTTTTCAAGTTCAAGTTTCATTTACTTACTCTATCAATGATAATATTACCAGAGATTTGCACCTAATAAGTAAAAAATCATATAGATGTTCTACAAGCTATGCAATTACCCTCAGACTCATTGCATAACCACTGAAGCTTAACTGAAGCTATTCTGTGATTGCTTTAAAACACATACCTTTAAACTTACGGGCAGTGTTTATATATTCAAGGTCATAGCATGAAATTTGACATTTCTAAATTAAATGATCGGCCTTACCTCTACTAGACTGGGCATTACTTGAGAAGCAATTTATAGAGATTAACAATGTGAGATCTGTTCTTTTACTTATTCCAGAAGGACTTGACTTTCCAGAATGATAGCGTGTTTAGCATAGAAAAATCCAACATGTATCATAGCAAGAGGGAAGACTGTTTCACAGTTTAAGTGTTGTGATAAAAATATGAAGACAATTATTGAGGCAGTCCATATTAGTAGTTCTGAACTATAATTATGCTTTAAAAGGGAGTTGCCATCTTTTGATGCAAATGCAAAAATCCTCATGCACTCCTCTTTTTAAAAATCAGTATTTTAATATTGAGTGGAGCAAATATATTAGTAGTAGTTGATTCCAAACGATGGAGTTTGAAATATATAATTTTTACAAATTCTAAATGGTTAGATGTTGTAACTCTGAGACAGTTATCAACCCATTTCCAAATATCTAATACCAATGATATGATTTCTCTCTAAAATCTAAAACACTCGACTCTTTAGTTTGCAAACTATTTACAGGTAAATAACTGGCATAAGAAACTGAGGATTATCTGAAATAAGTGTGTTGTGTACCAAAATGTTTGAAATGGCCCTGAGTTCTCTTAGGTCAGAATATCTTTTATTTTTAAATTAGTCATTTACAGCTGTTTCTGTGTCATGCCCCTGCATGCTAACCAAGAAGATACAAGATTTCAATAGTGATGTAGAATGTGGTGAGTAATTTCAGAGTGTACTAAGACATGAACATATTTTAGAAACAAGCTGATGCCACCACAAGTCCAATGCTTGTAACTTTATCTGCCAATTGGAGATCTGGGTAAGAATTTGCAAAACCCCCTTGGCTGACACTAGTGATGAATCAGAGAAGTCGGTCTTAAGGTTCTCCTGTAACTATCTGTATGTC